ATAAAGATACTTGGACTCCCACACAATAATAGCGGGAGACTTTGACACCATATTGTTAATATTCGACGGATCAGTGAGATAGAAAATTAACAGGGACATCTATGATTTGAACTCAGACCTGGAACAAGTAAACTCAGTGAATATTTATAGAATTCTTCACCCCAGGTCCACAGAATATACATTTTTCTCAGTATCACATTACACCTGTTTTGAAAGTGACCACATAATTGGATGTAAATCACTCTTTAGCATTTGCATAGCATTTCACAGACTTAAATGAAATATTGGTTGGCTGTTTGTTATTTTCTTCCCTTATTCCTTCCTGTCTCTGCTGTTAAGCACAATTATCAGCATAAAAGAGGTTTTTAATACCTATTTTCAGATTGCATTCCAGCCTGGGCAATAGAGCAAGACTCCTGTTCTCTCTCCCCCTTTCTCTTTCTCTTTATTTCTAAATAAATAAATAGAAAACAGATTACAAGAAAGCAAGTATAACGTAATCTCATTTTTGTAGAGGAAAAAAAGACATACTTGTATGTGTATACACAAGTATCTCCTGTACAAAATTGGAGGGTAAGTTTAATAGTTCTTTTTTTTTTTTTTTTTGAGACAGAGTCTTGCTCTGTTGCCAGGCTGGAGTGCTGTGGCATGAGCTCTGCTCATTGCAACCTCCACCTCCCAGGTTCAAGCAATTCTCCTGTCTCAGCCTCCACAGTAGCTGGGACTACAGGTGCCTGCCACCACACCCAGCTAATTTTTGAGTTTTTAGTAGACACAGGGTTTTACCATATTGGCCAGGATGGTCTCCATCTCTTGACCTCATGATCCACCTGCCTTGGCCTCCCAAAGTGCAGGAATTACAGGCATGAGCAACTGTACCTGGCCTAATTACTTCTTTTTTAAATTTTTGTAGGTATATAGTAGGTGTTTATATTTATGGGCTTATAACTATTACTTCTGGCCTCTGGGAAGTCCTCTATAAGTATTTCTTATCCTAGTTATAAATAAATACCTTTCCCCTTAGTTCAACAAAAACAATGCTGGAGTTTTCTAAGAGGAATTTTTCAAGGAAACAAAAACAGGAAAGTAAACAAAAGGCGAAGTAAAAATCAAAGTCATAGAAATCAAAGTGTTTACAGGATACACACTGTTTTTTCCTATGTTAGTAAATGTCTGTCCACCAACCAGTTAAGTTGTTACAGTTTATGGGGCTCTAAAGTTTTTGGGAGCTGGGTGTCAGGGCTCATGCCTATAACCCCAGCGCTTTGGGAAGCCAAGCGGGTAATTGCTTGAGGCCAGGAGTTTGAGATCAGCCTGGGCCACTAAAAATAAAAAATTAGCCCAATGTGGTAGGGCAAGTCTGTGGTCCCAGCTACTTGGGCAGCTGAGGTGGGAGAATCACATGAGCTCAGGAAGTTGAAGATGCAGTAAGCCATAATTCTGCCATTGCCTTCCAGCTTGGACAACAGAGCAAAGCCCTATCTCAGAAAGTAAAAAATAAAAATAAAAGTCCTTGTGACTCTGCCACCCAGGCTGGAGTGCAGTGGCATGATCTCAGCTCATTGCAACCTCCACCTCCCAGGTTCCAGCAATTCTCATGATTATAGGCATGTGCCACCACGCCTGGTGAAATATTTTATATTTTTAGTAGAGATGGGGTTTTGCTATGTTTGTCAGGCTGGTCACACTCCTGGCCACAAGTGACTCACATGCCTTTGTCTTTCAAAGTGCTAGGATTACAGGCAGGAGCCACCGCACCGGCCTGTTGTAGCAATTCTTTACCCACATCTCTCTAGCCAAAGCTATAAAATTGAGAGTTTTGATTCAGCACTATCATTTGGTAATATTGTAGAAAAAAATGGAATGACATAGAAAATATGTATGAAATAAAAATAAGATTATAAAATAGTGTATATGATATAATCCTAATTTTAAGTTATACAGTGTAATGTACAGAAATAAAAAATAAAACATACTAGAGAGATACTCTCCAGATGATAACAGTGGTTGTCTTTAAGTGGTAGTACTACAGTTAAATTTTAATTTATTTGCATTTTTTGTATTTCTAAGTTTTCTATAGGAACACAATATTAAAAAGTATATTTTTAGGCCGAGCACAATGGCTAAGGCCTGTAATCCCAGCACTTTGGGAAGTTGAGGCAGACTGCTTGAACTCAGGAGTTCAATACCAGACTGGGCAATAAAGTGAGAGCTCATCTCTACAAAAAATTTAAAAAGGAATCAAGTGTGTTGGCATGTATCTAGTCCCAGCTTCTTCGGAGGCTGAGGTAGAAGGATTGCTTGAGCCTGGGAGGCAAAGGCGGCAGTGAGCCAAGATCATATCACTGCACTTCAGCCTGGGTGACAGAGTGAGACGCTGTCTTAAAAAAAGAGGAAGAAGAAAAAACATATATACATATACTTATATGGGTTCCATAGTGCTACTGTATTGCTGTTATCTCAGTTCTAAACTCTTCTGAGTGTTTTATAAGGGCCCTTTTTAATCTTGCTTTGTTCTATGTATCTAAAATCAGTTTTGCCTCAAACAGTAACTTTGTTCTTGAGCAAGAAGCATTATTATATAAAGCTAAGGATATCAATGATTGCTTCTTTTTTAATAATGGAGGAATCCCTCTCTGTCTTCTGGTTTGTTTAGAGCTGGGCTCAGCTAGACTCCAAAAATGATCATCAACAAGTTTGTAGATTATCATTGCCTTCTGTTTCCAAATGTATCTACCAGATGCTTACTGTCCTCAGGGTCTGTTAGCAAATCAAAATTGTATTGTTAAAGTTGGCAAAGTCCTGCTCTTTTAAGACATTTGTTGATTGTAGTTATTTAGCTATTCTGTGTGCAGAAGTGGGTGGTGGTATTGCAGATGGCAGTAGGCATAAGAATATAGGAGCACAGTGAGATTCAGAAAACTTCAACTTTCTGTAAATTTGAGTGGTGTGTGTTCTTAGAGTGAATTTAAAATGTTGGGGGTCCTTAAGTTTAGAAAACGATGTAATAATAAATGAAATATAATCATTGAAATAAAGTTTTAATGATTATAAAAATAACTCAGGCTGGGTGTGGTGGCTCAATGCCTGCAACCCCAGCATTTTGAGAGGCCGAGGTTGGTGGATCACTTGAGGTCAGGAGTTTGAGACCAGCCTGACCAACATGATGAAACCTTGTCTCTACTAAAAATACAAAAATTAGCTGGGCAGAGTGGTCCTCACCTGTAATCCCAGCTACTTGGGAGGCTGAGGCAGGAGAATCGGTGAACCCAGGAGGTGGAGGTTGCAATGAGCCAAATCACACCACTGAACCAGCCTGGGTGACAGAGAGAGACCCCCTCTCAAAAGTGATAATAATAATTGCCCAAGTATATTTACTAGTTAGGATTAACTAGACTGTGATGTATTAACAGACAACCCCCAAATTGCAGTGGCTTAAAACAATAAAAGTTTATTTATTTGTTCATCCTATAGTCTCAAGCAGGTTGTGTAGCTTTTTGCAGCTCTCCTCCATGCAGTGACCACTTCCATTATATTAAATGAAAACATATAGCATTGTGTCTGTGACACATTGTATTCCTCTAAAACTTAGGTGTCACAGACATATCTTATAGATGGGCTTTCTGTTTTTTTTTGTTTATTTGTTTTCTTTCTTTCTTTCTTTCTGGTTTCCTTCTTCACTCATGCCTCTGTCATGTTAAGCTGCCCAGAGATAAAATGGAGTGAGTGGTAGTGAGTGAAAAACCATTTTTTTTCCTGTTGATTTCATTTCCTAAGAGAGAAGAAAGTCCCAACTATAAGTATGTACATCTTTGCACAAAACTTAAATGTTCTGTCTTCAGAATAAAAACTCATGTCATTGGATTAGTCATATTTATTCTTACTCAGATTTTAAATAAAACCGAAATATGACTAATAATGACCATGTATTTTTAGTAGAGATGGAGTTTTACCTTGTTAGCCAAGCTGTTCTCGAACTCCTGACCTTGTGATCCTCCCACCTCAGCCTCCCAAAGTGCTGAGATTATAGGCATGAGCCACCAAGCCTGGCCTATTTCATTTATTTATCAAATCTTTGTTAAACTTCTCTTACATGCTAGACACTGTTCAAATGTGTTGGGAATATAGTGGTGATGAAGACAAAGTTTATAGTGTCATGGAGCTTATATTCTGGTCAGTTATTGGTCAAAAAAATCTGTGATGGGGCTGGGCATGCCTGTAATTCCTGCACTTTGGGAGGCTGAGGCAGGAGGATCACCTGAGGTCAGGAGTTCGAGACCAGCATGACCAACATGGAGAAACCCCATCTCTACGAAAAATACAAAAATTGGCCAGGCACGGTGGCAGGCACCTGTAATTCCCGCTACTTGGGAGGCTGAGGCAAGGCAAATCACTTGAACCCAGGAGGCAGAGGTTGCAGTGAGCCAAGATCACGCCATTGCACTCCAGCCTGGGTAACAGAGTGAGACTCCATCTCAAAAACAAACAAACAAACAAAAAAACTGTGATGGATGGTACAGTGTATCAATTACTAACTGTAAATAAATTAGCATTCCAACTATAAGGATTACAAAATTAGAATACACATCATAGAATTAGTGCAATGTAAATTGATTCATGGTGGGATTTTTATTTGTTTGTTTGTTTTTGAGACAGAGTCTCACTTTGTCCTCAGGCTAGAGTGCAGTGGCATGATCTTGGCTCACTGCAACCTCTGCCACCCAAGTTTAAGCGATTCTCCTGCCTCAGTTTCCCGAGTAGCTGGGATTACAGGCATCTGCCACCGCACCCGGCTAATTTTTGTATTTTTGGTGGCGATGGGGTTTTACCATCTTGGCCAGGCTGGTCTTAAAACTCCTGACCTCGTGATCCATCCACCTCAGCCTCCCAAAGTGCTGGGATTACAGGCATGAGCCACTGCACCCGGCCCTCATGGTGGTTTTTTTTTTTAGAAATCGTAGTATCAGTGGGAGTAATACGGATTTATTTTTTTCTTGTAGCTTTAAGAAAGCCTCCCATTTCAGTTTCTCAACAGGAAAGTCATCAAGCAATCTCCCATCTTCCAACTGGACAACCTCTCTCCCCAAATATGCCTCCAGGTATGAACTCTTCTTATAATTCCATTTGAAAACCAATTTACTATTCCTGTGCAGTTATATAATGTATGAAATATATCACCAAGCAATGTAGTGAAATAGAATCTTTTCTTTGAAGTAATGTTATATATGTTTTAAGACTAGTAAAAGCTCAGAGAGAAATAATCATCTGAAATTTTTTTACAGTCTTTTTCTTAAGAACAGAAGTATTATTTATTGTGCCACTTCGGGCTATATTCCCTTTCCTCTCTGCCTGCTATACAGGTTTAGCTTCTTCAAAGTGTGTTCAAATTTATCTCATAGAGGCCTTCTATAAATTACTATGCCCACCTATATTAAACTCTTTACTTTGTACTTACGAATCTATTTATTCTCTGGACACTCATTCAATTTTATAGAAACATTTCCCTAAAATGAGGATATGATTGAAGAGACTCGCTTAAGGGAGATGATGGAAAGGAAAAATGTCAGAGTGGCATAGGATGTTTTGAATCCAAAATTGAAGTCTTTGATGAGGATAAAAAGGGAGGTGGGGGAAAGCGAGGTGGTATCCAGTAGATAATGCTAAGAAAGAATCAAGAGTCAACACTTGTAAGTCACTATATAGATGAAGATGACTTAGAGAATAGAAATTTCAAAAGCCTTACTGGATTTTGGAGATTTCTGATAGAGATATGGAATTTGGAGGAAGGAAAAGATATGGGTATCATTGCTATACTGATCTATGGATTTCTACTCTATATGTTTCTGGTGAGTGAGTTTATAACCATTAGTGGAGACAGTTACCTGGGAATGATCAGTAAACCTCCCACAGCTAAAATCACATAGATCATAAGATTTGATTAAAGAAATGAGAGTAAAGCTTTTTTTTTTTTTTTTTAAAAAGAGCTCTGTGGCTACCCAATGTTAAACAAGTGTGTGTCTTAGCTTTCTAAAACAGATCTTGTGAAATTCATCTTTAAAGATTAAATTTAATTCTTTTAATTTGATGTTTTTATTCCACAGATTCACATGTAAACCACAATGGAAACCCTGGTACTTCAAAACAGAACCCTTCCATTCCTCTTCAGCATTTAATTCCAGGCTCAAACTTGGACAATGAACCCAGAATTCAAACAGATATACTAAAGCAGGCTACCAAGGATAGACTCAGTGATTTCCATAAATTGAAGCAAAGTAAGAATCAATTGATGAATATTATGCTAAAAACATTTCTTTAAATGTAATTTGAATTAAGGTCTTCATTATTCTGATCTTTAATAAATGTATAGTGAAGTTATATATATTTAAAGAGAAGGTATGAAAGTGTCAAAATTTAAAGGAAATGTAGGTTTTAAATGGATAGATACTATTTTAAAGAAAACTTTAAAAAGGTTCTCATGTTCTCCATTGTTAAATAATAAATTTCAGGTGAGTTGACTTTTTAAGAAAATGCAGTTCTTATGAATATAAACTTCTTTGGAGAAATGAGAAAAGATATATTTTGTTAGGCTAACAAATGAAAACTTTGGTTACTTCGATGAGGAAGGAGAGAAGATAAATAGTTTTGAAAAATGGAACATTCTGGTAGAAGCATATACTGCAGGGAGACTGTCCTAGTGGATTGCTCAATACTGCTTCCTGCTCCAGTCCCTTCAATTGGAGTTTTCTTCATTTGGATGTTAGAAGTATAAGAAAAAATTCTGGTAGTAGAATTTGAAGCAGGAGAGTGTGCCTTAGATCAGCTTTGTTAAACTGGACTTTTCCCTGGTTCTGCTTTTCATGACATCTTCCTACCATCAATTCTGAATAGATTCCCAAAGTGTGACAGGGAAAAGAAAAAAAAAAATTCTGAATATACAATCTTTAAAAGCTTTGGTTTGTCTTTGGTTTATTTATTTTTAATTTTTGTCAATCACCGGAAGTAGGATCATGTCTTTGGTTTTTATGATGGCTTCTGTCTATGGTAGCAACTGTGCAGAGCACTAGTTAGGCAATTATTTGTAGAAAGGTTGCTTATAAGCTAATAATTGAACAATGTTATATTTGTGAATTTATTTAAGATATTTTATTTATTTATTTTTAGAGACGGGGTCTCACTTTGTTGCCCAGGCTGGTCTTGAACTCCTGGGTTAAAGTGATCCTCCTGCCTTAGCCTCACAAAGTGCTGGGATTACAGGCATGACCCACCACACCTGGCCTATTCAAGGTATTTTTGTTGGTCTTGTAACAGTTATGCAAATTTATTCATATATATGAATGCATAGTTTGCATGAATTTAATTGGCTTTCCTTTCTTGAATTTTTTTTTCTTTCTTGAATTTTTTTCTATTTTCTTCAAATAGAAAATTCCTATATATTTTAAAGCATATCTGTGTATCTTGACCAAAATATTGTATGAAAAATATTTTTATTACAAGGATTTAGCCAACATTTTAAATAGAATGAAAAAATATTTCCTCAAAATTGGGTTGGGAGATTGGCTTGAAAACTTACATCTCAACAAGAAGAGGTGTACACTAAGAGCATAACAAATAAAATATCTCAATTTGATCATTTAAGATTTTCTTCTTTTTTAAAAAAATGTTTTGAGATGGAATCTTGCTCTGTTGCCCAGGCAGGAGTGCAGTGGTACAATCTCAGCTCACTGCAACCTCTATCTCCTGGGTTCAAGCAATTCTCCTGCCTCATCCTTCTGAGTAGCTGGGATCACAGCTGTGTACCACCATGCCCTGCTAATTTTTGGATTTTTTAGTAGAGATGGAGTTTCACCATGTTGGCCATTCTGGTCTTGAACTCCTGATTTCAGGTGATTTGCCCACCTCAACCTCCCAAAGTGCTAGGATTACAGGTGTAAGCTACTGTGCCTGGCCAAGATTTTCTTCTAAACTTATTCTATACATTTTTAAAATTGTTGCCTTACTTGTATATATTTTTAGCTGATATTTGGGTAAAGAAGGTGATTGGAAATAATTGCTAGGAAATTATCACTTCACAATGATTTTGAAAAGAATCTAGGCATGGTGGGTGGCTCATGCCTGTAGTCCCAGCTACTTGGGAGGCTAAGGCAGGAGAATGGCTTGAACCCAGGAGGGTTTCAAAAAAAGGAAAAAGAAAAGAAAACAGCCTATTGAGTTTTAAACCCTCACTCCAAATTCTTTTCCATGTATCACTAATGTATATAGAGAGTTCAAATCAGTGCATGCACAGTTTTGTGATTTACTTTGACATTATTTCTTTTTTTGTTTTTTTGACGGAGTCTTGCTCTGTTGCCCAGGCGGGAGAGCAGTGGCACAATCTTGGCTCACTGCAACCTCTGCCACTCACGTTCAAGTGATTCTCCTGCCTCAGCCTTTCAAGTAGCTGGGATTACATGTGCGTGCCACCACGCCCGGCTACATTTTTTTGTATTTTTTCTTAATAAAGACAGAGTTTCACCATTTTGGTCCAGCTGGTCTTGAACTCCTGACCTTATGATCCACCCTCCTCAGCCCCCCAAAGTGCTGGAATTACAAATTTTACATAATTTAAATTTTTATTAATATATATACATACATACACACACATATGTATACATATACATACATATATTCTGTTGTGCTTAGGCAATAATAGTTTACTTAAGTCTCCTCTATTACTGTTTCTTTTTCATTCCTTTTTTTTCTTTCACATTGCACTGCAAACCTTTACACACATCTCTTATTGTTTAGATCATTTGATATTTTCTTGTTGTAGCTGTCATGATTACTCCCCCCCACACACCCAGTTATTTCCTCTTCCTCCTACTTTGGGTGTTCCTTTTAAAATATAGTCTTCAGAATGAAATTACTGGGTCAAAGCATTTGACTAGCTTTATAGCTCCTGTTATATATTGTCAGATTGTTCTCTAGAACAGTTTTACTGTGTCACTGGAGTTATTTAAGTTTAGCAGTTTCTCTGTGGCTTGGTCACACTGATTTTTATTGCTTTTAATACATATTTAGAATATAAAGTTTCCTTAAAAGTGTTTTAATAAGCATTTACTTTTTGATGGCCTATTTTTCTGTGAGGAATTTTATTGTAATTATTTCTTGGTATATAATCTGTGTATCAGTTTTGAGGACTTAGCCTGAGCACTTTGTAGATTGGTCCTATTTATTTGTATCAACTCTTTTCTTTGTTTCTTTTCTTTTTTTTTTTTTTTTTTTTGAGACAAGGTCTTACTCTGTCACCCAGGCTTGGAGTGCAGTGGTGTGCAGTCATGGCTCACTGCAACCTAGACTTCCTGGGTTCAAGTGATCCTCCCTCCTCAGCCTCCTAAGTAGCTAAGGCCGCAGGTGTGTGTCATCACACCTGGGTAATTTTTAAATTTTTTTTTGTAAAGATGAAGTCTTGCTCTGTTGTTGAGACTGGTATTGAACTCCTGGGCTCACACGATCCTCCTGCCTCAGCCTCCCCAAATGCTGGGATTACAAGTGTGAGCCACCATGCCCAGCCCCATATCAAATCTTTATAGATAATTCAGATATATCACAGTTTTTGTCTTCTATTGTCTTCCCTGATATAAGACCTTATTATGCTTTTTATACAAAAGGTGTTTTTAATTAAAAATAATTTTTTGTTGTGATGTTACACATAAAATTCACCAAAATGGCATTCAGTGGCATTTAGTACATTCACAAAGTTGTACAAACTATCACCACTCTAGTTCCAGAACATTTTCATCACCCTGAAAGAAAACTCTATTCTCTCCTACCCATAGCACCTGGCAACCACTAATTTGCTTTTTTCTCTCTATTCCTTTTATATTAAATATCCAAAATAGGTGACTCTTTGGAGTCAGATGGCCAGGCTCAGTGGCTTATACCTGTAATCCCAGCACCTTGGGAGGATGAGGTGGGTGGATCATGAGGTCAGGAGATCAAGACCATCCTGACAAACATGGTGAAACCCCGTCTCTATTAAAAGTACAAAAATTAGCCAGGTGTGGTGGCATGTACCTGTAATCCCAGCTACTTGGGAGACTGAGGCAGTAGAATCACTTGAACCTGGGAGTTGGAGGTTGCAGTGAGCGGAGGCCACGCCACTGCACTCCACCCTGGGTGACAGAGCAAGACTCCATCTCAAAAAACAAAACGGAATCATACAATATGTGGCCTTTTGTGTCTGGCTTCTTTTATTTAGCATAATTTTTTCAAAGTTCACTGACCGTGGTGTAACATGTAGCATGTTTCAGTATTTTATCTCTTTTTATGGCTGGATAATATTCAGTTGTATAGATACATTTTACTTTGTTTATTCATCTGTTGATGGTACATGTGGAGTTTTTTTTTTTTTGCTATTGAATAGAACTTCTATAAACATTTATGTACAAGTTTTATTGAACACTTGTTTTTAATTTTGGGGGTATGTACCTAGAGGTAAAATTGCTGAATTGTATGATAGTTCTATGTTTGGTTTTTTGAGGAACTGCCAAACCATTTTCCACAACAGCTGTACCATTTTACATCCCCACCAGCAATGTATAAGAGTTCCAATTTCTTCACATGCTCATCAGTCTGTCCGTCCTTCCTTCCTTCCCTCCCTCCCTCCCTCTCTCCATTCATTCATTCATTCATTCATTCCACCATGTAGTGCATATGAAGTAGTCTCTCCTTGTGGTTTTGATTTGCATTTCACTAATGACATTGAGTACCTTTTTTGTGTACTTTTTAGCCATTTGTATATCCTCTTTGGAGAATTATCCTTTCAAGTCCTTTGTCTTCTTTTAAAATTTATTTTTAGAGACAGAGTCTAGCTTTGTCACCCAGGCCAGAGTACAGTGGCACAGTCATTAACTTGCAGCAGCCTCAAACTCCTGGGCTCAAGCAGTCTTCCTGCCTCAGCTTCACAAGTAGCTATGGCTACAGATATATCCTACCATGCCTGGCTAATGTATGTATTTATTTTGTAGCTTCTTTGGAGATGGGGTCTTGCTGTCTTGCCCTTGCTGGTCTCCAACTCCTGGCCTCAAACAATCCTCCTGTCTTGGCCACCCAAAAGCACTGGGATTATAGGTATGAACCACCAGACCCAGCTCTTTGCCAGTTTGTATATTGGGTTATTTGTCTTGGTTGTTGAGTTTTTATTTTATTTTATTTTATTTTATTTTTTGAGATGGAGTCTCTCTCTGTCACCAGGCTGGAGTGCCGTGGCATAATCTTGGCTCACTGCATCCTCTGACTCCCTGGTTCAAGCAATTCTCCTGCCTCAGCCGGAGATCCCGAGTAGCTGGGATTACAGGCACAAGCCACCACGCCAGGCTAATTTTTGTATGTTTAGTAGAGTAATCAAATTTATGATTTGCAAATATTTTTACACAGTCTATGGGTTGTCTTTTCACTTTTGATAGTGTTCTTTCATGCACAAAAGTTTTTAATTTTGATGAGATCCATTTTATCTGATTTTTGTTTTTGTTCATAATTTGGGTATCATATCTAAGAAACTAGTGCCAAAATCATGGTCATGAAGATTTGCCCCTATGTTTTGTTCTAAGACTTTCATAGGTTTAGTTGTTATATTTAGGTCTTTCATCCATTTAAAGTTAGTTTTTGTATATGGTTTGAGGTAAGGTCTAACTTCATTCTTTTGTATGTGGATACCAGTTGTCCGAGTACCATTTATTGAAGACTCTTCATTTCCCATTGAACATTCTTGGTATTCTTGTCAAAAATCTACTGACCACAGATATGTGGATTTATTTCTGGATTATCAGTTCTGTTACATTTATTTATATGTCTATCATATGTCTATATTATGCCAGTATCATACTGTATTGATTGCTGTAACTTTGTAGTAAGTTTTGAAATTGTAAATTGAGTCTTTCAACTTCATTCATCTTTAAGATTATTTTAGCTATTCATGATCCCTTATAATTTTATTGTAGGATATGCTTTTCCATTTCTACTAAAAAGGCAATGATATTTTAAAAGGACTTGTGGCTAGGTACAGTAGCTTACACCTATAATTCCAGCATTTTGTGGGGCCAAGGCAAGAGGATCACGTGAGGCCAGGAGTTCAAGACCAGCCTGGGCAACGTAGCAAAACCCTATCTCTACAAAAAAATTTAAAAATTAGCTAGGCATGTTAGCACAAGCCTGTAGCCTCTGCTACTCTGGATGCTGAGGTGGAAGGATTGCTTGAGCCCAAGAGTTCAAGGTTATGGTGAGCTATGATTGTTCCACTGCACTCTAGCTTGGGTGAGCCCTATCTCTGAAAAAAATAAAATTAAAAAATTGACCAGGTACGTGGCTCATGCCTGTAATCCCAGCATTTTGGGAGGCAAAGGTAGGCAGATCACTGGAACCCAGGATTTTGATACCAGCTGGGCAACATGACAAAACCCCATCTCTACAAAAAATACAAAAACTAGCAACATGTGGTGCCGTGCACCTGTAGTCCCTATTACTTGGGAAGCTGAAGTGGGAGGATCACTTGAGTCCAGGAGGTAGAGGCTGCAGGGAGCTGAGATTCTGAGACTGTGCCATTGCATTCCAGCCTGGGTGGCAGACCAAGACCTTGTCTGAAAAAAAAAAAAAGACTGTATGTAGATCACTTTAGAGAGCATCTTAATATCAAGTCTTTCAATCCATGAATGTGCGATGTCTTTCCATTTATTTAGGTCATCTTTAATTCCTTTCAGCAATGTTTTGCAGTTTTCAGTGCACAGGTCTTGTGCTGCGTTGGTTAAATTTATTCCTAAGCATTTTACTATTTTGATGTCGTAAATCAAACTGTTTTCTTAATTTTCCTTTTAGACTTCTTGGCAGTGCATAGAAATATGACTGATTTGTGTGTGTGTTGATTTTGTATTGTGCAACTTTATACAACTTGACACAAAAGGTCTTTATTTGTATATATTGAAGCATATTTACCTAGATTCTTATGATGATTTTCATTTCTTTTATAAAAATATTTTTTAATTCTATCTGGGCCTAAATATACTATTCAATTTTTTTTCTTTCTTTTTTTTTTTAAGACAGAGTCTTGCTTTGCTGCCCAGGCTGGAGTGCAGTGGTGAGATCTCAGCTCACTATACCTTCCGCCTCCTGGGTTCAAGTGAGTCTCTCACCTGACCAATATGGTAAAACCATGTCTCTATTAAAAATACAAAAATTAGCAAAGCCCGTTGGTGTATCCCTGTAATTCCAGCTATTTGGGAGGTTGAGGCTCAAGAATCACTTGAACCCAGGAGGTGGAGGTTGCAGTAAGCCAAGATTGGGCCACTGCACTCCAGCCTGGGCAACAGAGTGAGACCCTGTCTCAAAAAAAAAAAAAAAGGAATTCTAATGTTTATTCATCTTTGCTTTCCATAGAGTAAAAACTATTTAGTCATAAGGAAAATTTATTTTATTTTAGTTATTTAAGAGACAGGTGGCCTGGCACAGTGGCCCACACCTATAATCCTAAGACTTTGGGAGGCCGAGGCAGGTGGATTGCTTGAGCTCAGGAGTTAAAGACCAGCCTGGGCAATATGGTGAATCCCCATCTCTACAAAAGACACAAAAGTTAGCTGGGCATGGAGGCATGTTCCTGTAGCCCCACCTCCTTGGGTGGTTGAGTCAGCAGGATTGCTTAAGAACAGAAGTTCGAGGCTGCAGTGAGCCATGATTGTGCCACTGCACTCCAGCCGGAGCAACAGGGTAAGACCTTGTCTCAAAAGAAAAAAACAGAGAAAGAGAGAGAAAGACAGTGTCTTGCTATGCTGACTGGCTAGATTCAAACTCCTGGGCTCAATTCATCTTCCTGCCTTAGCCTTCTGAGTAGCTGAGATTATAGGCATGCATCACTGACCCCAATGAAAATTCATTTTTTAAATACAGTTTTGCTTTATAATTTTCTTCTTTTTTGACTTACTGTGTTTTCTTTTGTTTACACTTGTCAAATTTGTGTATCTAAATCATTGTTCTCAAAAATTTCAATGCAGCCGGGCACAGTGACTCATGCTTGTTATCCCAGCAATTTTGGAAGCCGAGGCAGGTAGATCACTGGAGGCCAGGAGTTCAAGACTAGCCTGGCCAATATGTTGAAACCCCATCTCTACTAAAAATGCAAAATTAGCCATGTGTGGTGGTGCATGCCTGTAGTCCCAGCTACTCGGGAGGTTGAGGGGAGGATCGCTTGAATCCGGGAAGCGGAGAGTTGCAGTGAGCCATGCTCACGGCACTGAACTCCAGCCTGGACAACAGAGTGAGACTCTGTCTCAATAAATAAATAAATAATAAAAGCACTTGTAAGTATAAAATGACATGCTGTTATAAAAAAGTTGAAAATTTTATTGAAAACACTATTAGAAAAAAGGCCGGGCATGGTGGCTCAAGCCTATAATCCCAGCACTTTGGGAGGCCGAGGTGGGTGGATCACGAGGTCAAGAGATCAAGACCATCCAGGTCAACATGATGAAACCCCATCTCTACTAAAAATACAAAAAATTAGCTGGGCATGGTGGCACGTGCCTGTAATCCCAGCTACTCAGGAGGCTGAGGCAGGAGAATTGCCTGAATCCAGGAGGCAGAGGTTGCGGTGAGGAGGCAGAGGTTGCGGTGAGCCGAGATCGTGCCACTGCACTCCAGCCTGGGTAACAGCCACGAAACTCTGTCTCAAAAAAAAAAAAAAGAAAGAAAAATAGAGGAAGTCCTTAGACTTTATACAATTATCATCATTTTTTTTTTTTTTTTTGAGACAGGGTCTCACTCTGTCACCCAGGCTGTACTGCAATGGCATGGTCATGGCTCACTATATCCTTGACCTCTTTGGTCTCAAGGGATTCTCCCACCTCAACCTCCTGAATAGTTGGGACTACAGGTGCACACCATCATGCCTGGCTAATTTTTATATTTTTGTAGAGACGGAGTTTCACTCTGTTGCTCAGGCTGGTCTCAAACTCCTGAGCTCAAGCAGTCCTCCCACCTCGACCTCCCAAAGTGCTGGAATTACAGGCATGGCCTCACTACAAATTTTTTGGCAGCTTTAAATTTAGTCTTTTTGTTTTATAGCTTCATATATTATATTTATATTTATACAGAGTTGCATATTTTTATAAATTTAATTTTATATTACCACATCATGTAAAAATGGCTAGGACATTTTGTGGCATGTTTCACCATGTTTAGAAGATGTATTTGGGTTAAACTTTAGAATATAGGTTATTTGGTAATACAAAATGTAGTTTAGGGATACTTCAAAGAAATAGATATCTTCCAAAATAGTTGAAACTGAAAATCCATGCAAGGCCCACCTGTTTACCAACTAAAAGAGACATATCATTTCTACTTAGATACTTTGAATAGAGATAAGAATTTACTTATTACATTTACTCAAATGTTAGTTTCCATATGGAAAGTCACAAGGGTAGTTACTCCAAATAGTAGGGAGTGATTGTTGATCAAACTCCTTCTCATATTGGCTTTTCTGTATAGCAGCAGGGTTTCATTTATCTAACAGTGGTTATTAATCATTCTCCTGATCAGCATTGGAGAGGCAAGCTGGTGTATCACAGAATACCTGACCTTCCTTTATATATGTAATATTTTGGCTGGGTGTGGTGGCTCACGCCTGTAATCCCAGCACTTTGGGAGGCCAAGGTGGGTAGATCACAAGGTCAGGAGATCGAGACCATCCTGGCTAACATGGTGAAACCCTGTCTCTACTAAAACTACAAAAATTAGCTGGGCATGGTGCTGTGTGCCTGTAATCCCAGATATTTGAGAGGCTGAGACAGGAGAATCACTTGAACCCAGGAGGCAGAGTTTGCAGTGAGCTGAGATCACACCACTGCACTCCAGCCTGGGTGACAGAGTGAGACTCTGTCTCAAAAAAAGAAAGAACTTTTAAAAGTATTTTACAGTTTCTAGTCCAGATGGCTTAATGAGTTCACCATTGACATATCCTCCCAGTTCACACATATAACAAAAACTGATAAAAGGAAAGAAAAAATAAGATATAAGAAATGAAATAACTAAAAATATATTCATAAGCTTAAAAACATGGTAACCATTTCAGTGCTCAAAAATAATAATAATAATTAGAACTTTTGAGCTTCAGGTCTGGAAAGGCAGGTTTCCAGGAATTTGGCTCTTGAGAGCAACAAGGCCAAAATGGTGCCATTTTAAAAAATGGGAGTCAGGCTTACTCCTTACAGCCAGGACCTAATTAATTGTCCCATCCCCTTTGGTGACAGAAGCAGAAAATACAACTATTGCTTACTGAAATCAAGGACCACAGCATTTAGCAGCCTGAATCCTTATGGAGACGCAATATTGTGACCATGCACTGAACATACCACCATTGGTTTTATACTGATGCTTTTCCCAGTAGCACCATAGAATAGAAACTCTGAAATGTGATTATAAAATCTCACCATGGACTGGGAAACTGGGTGAAAGCAACTTGAAAATGACTAGATAGGCCAGGCACAGTGGCTCATGCCTGTAATCCCAGCACTTTGGGAGGCTGAGGCGGGCGGATTGCCTGAGCTGAGGAGTTGGAAACCAGCCTGGGAAGCAACAGTGAAACCCCATCTCTACTAAAATACAAAAAAAATTAGCTGGGCATGGTGGCGTGCGCCTGTAGTCCCAGCTACTTGGGAGATGGAAGCAAGAGAATTGTAAGAACCTGGGAGGTGGAGGTTGCTGTGAGCCGAGATCATGCCACTGCACTCTAGCCTAGGTGACAGAGCGAGACTCCGTCTCAAAAAAAAAAAAGAAAAAGAAAAAGAAAGAAAATGACTACATAATATGGGCAAATACAAAGAGGAGAAAAGAGAAAAAAAGTAAGTATCTCCACACACTGAAAATTAGTAAAACAAAACTCCATTCATGTCAGGAGTTTGAGACTAGTGTGGGCAACTTAGTGAGAGCCTGTCTCTATAAAAAATTTAAAAATTAGCCAGGCATAGTGGTGCACACCTGTAGGTCTAGCTACTTGGGAGGTTGAGGTAGGAGGATCATTTGAGCCCAGGATTTGGAGGCTGCAGTGAGCTGTGATCAGGCCACTTCACTTCAGCCTGGGTGACAGAGTGAGACCCTGTCACAAAAAATAAAAAATAAAAACCCTCCAAAACCATGAAAAATGTTAATGCTGAGAAAGCTGTTAAAAAACGTTAATGCTTGGAGGGATCCAAGATGACCGATTAGGAGCAGCTCAGGATTGCAGCTCCCAGTGAAAGCGCAGAGGGTGAGTGGACACCACATTTCCAGACAGATTTTTATTGCCCACCGACCAGGAGATTCCCAGGTGGAGGAGCCCCACAGGTCGCCAGTGCGGCTGGTTTGGCTGGCACGGCTGTTTTGCTGGCACCCCAGCGTGGCAGTTCTCCTTACAAAATACACGGGTCTGGGCGCCATTTTAGCTGGCAGTTGGAGCTCCGGGAAGGCAAAGTCATGCATTCATCTGATTAATAAGGGGATTGAAACATGGAGCCAGGTCAGGAGATTCCTGGGCAAAAAAGCGCCACGAATCTCAGTGCCGCTGTTTCAGCAGGCGCAGTGGGTCACTGCACGGGAAATCACACAGATCCCGGCTCCTTTCAACAGGCGACTAGAACATCTGGGAGAGAGTCGACCGTTAACTAAAAAAAAGGCTCTGAGGCAGGGACCCAGGTGCTCGGGCTCAGCTGGTCCCACCCCCACAAAAAAACAGCAGTTGGAAATGCTGTGGGTTGAGAGTTTCACAGAAAACACAGCTGAACCCGGGAAGGTCCAGCTCTGTGGGGAGGGGCATCTGCCATTACTGAGGCACTCCACCACTACGGAAGTAGTCCGCCATTGCTGAGGCAGTTCTAACTATACTCGTATAAACAGGACTGCAGGGTAGTTCACATGGCAGCTAGGTGGAGCCCACAGGAGCTCAGCAAAGCCTCTGCAGGCAGACAGTGACTAGGCTGCCTCCTCACTGGGCAGGGAAGCCCTGAAAAAAAGGCAGCAGCACAATAGAAACTCATAAATAACGCCCTAACTGCCTGGGACAGAGCACCTGGGGAAGAAAAGGGGTTTATGAGTTCTGCTGCAGCAGACTTAAACGTACCTGCCCAGCAACTCTAAATGAACAACGGAGCTCAC